GTTAGCGACGCTTCATAGCTTAGCGAGTCCAGACAGCTGCAGCTAAGGTTGCTTAGCGGCGCTAAGGAGGGTTAGCGCCGCTAAGGTCAGTTGCTTAGCGGCGCTTCATAACTTAGCGGGTATAGACAGCTGCAGCTAAGGCGAGTTAGCGGCGCTATGGAGGGTTAGCGCCGCTAAGGTATGAGATCGAGCCTAGGGCATAGAGACTTTATTTTTTTTATGTTTTTGGGGGGCACAAACATATTTTCACTTTGTTTTCATCTTGGATTGGATTTTGGAGCATAAAAACGTCATCAATCATCATATCGATTTAGATTTCTCGTTGTTCTTTTGACATGGAATTGCGTATTAATCGTAAGTTCTCTTTTTATTTTCATTGATGAGTGTTATGTGTTTCTTTGATGATTGATCACCATCCTAATTTCGGTGTTCGAATCTTTGGATTGCAGTAAAAATATTTGCAACAACACTTCAAATATTAGGTCCAAATGCAAGATAGATGTAACCTCAAGGTCCTCAAAGTACCAAATACATTACAATTTGCAATAGCATTACACAACAAAAGCCCCAAAATATGACACTAATTCGACTTGGGAATACTATGAGCATAAATTGCTAATTCCATTTTCTTTCTATATGAACTCAAGTCCAGCTCTCGGGGAATGTCCTCGCCAAGCATACGTTCAACGTACATACAAGAATATACTCCACAACTATGGATATCATCTTGAACAAACTGAACTTCACTCGGCATTCTCTTTATCGATAAGGCATCTAACTTGGGCGGAATTTTCCTAGCAGCAAAGTAACCGGACCGGTGAAGTAGTGTGGGAAGCAGTCGTCAGAGAGGGGTCAACATAAGATCTCGGTCATTACACGCCTTCGACGATGAAAGGTGGCTGAAGGAGTCGTAAAGCTCGATCTCCCAATCCAATAACCGTACCCGACACACCACCCAATGCTCCATAACATTACATACCAAAATGACCTGTCATCCGAAGTTACAAACCAACGATATAAATGTTACAAGTACATTTAATCTCTTCTAATAATTTACCAATACTTAAGAACAAAAGAAAAACTTACATCGGGATTTGTATGCCAAGGAGATCCACAACGAATATTAGTACCACGAACATAACTAACCAGACCCGGAGGAACATTCCAACTCTCATAATTTGCGATGTCTGGATAGCTCTGCGTACATTGAGGATCGTCGGGATGAAGCACTTTCCATTGATTCGATAACAAGCCCTGAAAATAAGTAGTAAGCAAAATCATTCAACATAATATAAATTAATTAAGCAAAAATATAATTAGTGGAAAGAGCAATTACAAATAGAGTAGAATCCTGAATGTTAATTGTTGAAACAGATACTCCCGACTTCAATTTGACCCCATTGTACAACCTCCGAGAAAGCACGTCCAAAAATGCATCGATATGCTACAAAAAATATAATTATATTAATTTTTTGAACTACTACATTCGAGTACTAATATTGAATTCTTTAGAACCCTTGCTTACCTCTGTAGAAAGCATATTCTAACACCCTCAATTATTTTAAAATAATCTGGCCCTTGGTATTGTGCCCCAACTTTTAACCTAACAAGAAAATAAATAAAAAGAGAAAATCGCACTTAAAAAATTCACATGTATGCTATAGATTTAAATAAATATAACTATCATGCTACTTACATTGGAGATTTCTTCTTCTTCTTCCAATTTTCGTATTTCACCTTTAATTGCTTCTTAGTTTTCTTCTCCCGGTAGTCAATGAATGGTGAGGAAAGCTTGCTATTTTTGAACTTAACGCGAAGTGTTCGACCTACCACAACACCATCACCATCACCATCCGTGAATCCACCTCCTTTTGTCGGCTTCTGAGTGATAGCAGCTACATCCTGTGAGGGGCCAACTTTCGCAATACCCTCATCCTCATCCACAACATCCTCACCTGAAACACCATGATCACCGGACTCCGGTACCTGTGTTTTTTAATAGTTTGAAAGAATTAAGATTATAGTCGATAGTTTTTTAAAATGTTTAGACAATACAAAATATTACAAACTTAAAAAAAAAACAAATCTTTAGGATGTAAAGTTGTAAACCACCAGAATTTTTTTGGATACCAAAATAAGGGTGCGTTGCATATAATACAAACTTACACAATCAGATTTTTGGTTGGAATGCTCTCTTTCTTGCCTCGATTCTTCTCCCTTCCCCAAATCATCCTTTCCCAAATCATACTTCCCCAAATCATCCTTCACGGTCTCCAAATCCTCAAATCCAAAATGCGGCGCGCTTCGAACGATTAGATAAGCATCTAATCGTTTAATAACCTCTGAAACCGCCGAGTCAACAAACCTAGGCAACATCCTAGCAAAAGCCTCTTCAATTTTTTTCGATACAACATCTTCGATCTTCGCCTCGTCAATGGTAGACGATGCAGATGGTCTGTCAAATGCAACTGGATGTGGTCTTTCCGGCTCAACATCATGCCCTCTTCTTTTGGCGGGCAGGATATGTTCATCTTCTTCAGAAAATTCCAGATTGTTTGCAGAATGAGTCTTCTTTGAGGGTCGCATTGTCTTCAACCCCCGTCCATGCATTTTGGCCGAAGACAATGGTTGACAGCTGCTCGCCCACTGATCACGATGAATGTATTGAACATTCGAGGATAAATCTCTGTCGATGTCGGCCATATAAGAGGCGTTCTTCTCCTCGGCCGTTAACACCATGGGTGAATATGGAATCTAGCAAAAAAAAATATAACAAATAATCAATCTAGAAATATACCTAGAAGCCATTGTTCCAAAATAAACATGAAGTTAAACATGCACTTCATAAGAAATTGATTTTAAATGAAACCAAGAATTACCTCAGCATTATCGAGTTCATTGGCACCATTGAATGGCACCTTTCCACATGTCCATCGGGCGCCCCTTAGAAGGTTGTCACCATGCTGTGACATTCCAGAATCTTTTACAATTTCGGGAAACAATTCACAAGCCCAGAACTTGTGGAAGATATCAAACAAACAAAGTTAATAAAGAAACCACATTATTAAAATAGAATGAAACAATGAAAAAAAAATTAACATTTACCTGAAGTGCCATGATATACCCGCAGATATTGAATTGCACCTCCCCCCACCAACAGGCGGTCTAATCCCATTTTCCAAATAGTGGTGAAGACGCTGAAAAGCGTATGAACCTCAGGGAAATCTCTTGAATTCTGTTGTGTTTTCAACCAGTGTCCACAACCAAATTGGCACCGACATCTTGGAGTCCGGGGACATAATGAAGAAGAAGACTACGAGTATGAAATCCACTTTCAGAGCATCGTCCTCCTCAAATTCTCGGTCAAAAAACTTCGACAACAAATCTCTTCCGAGCACAGTCTTTCCGTGAAAATATCGACGGTAAACTCCATTAGCCGGTGGGAGGCTCTTATTGGTATCCGGGTCAAAGTCGCTATTGTCGAATCGTAACCCAGTGATCGCGCAAAATTCTTCCTTTCCGAATTTATGGTTGCGACCACCAATTCGATTATAGCGTTCTTTTTCCCGAGGGTTGTCGATCTCAACCTCTCTCCCAAACAGTGACAAAAGTAATTTGCCACTGTTATAAGAATTGTCGTGGAACTTCAAAAAGTGGTCGAAACAAGACCGCTCAAACTCCGCTAGACAGTTGGAAGATAGCCTTTGTTTGATATGTCGAATGACTAGAGGCTTCATATGACAGTTTACTTTACCTATCCAATTACAAGCCTTATCCCACCTCCATTTCCAATTATTATCATGTAATTGTCAATGTAATAAAATATAATAAAGGTTAATACACCTACAAAAAAACGAATATGACAAACTATTGAATTTGGAGCAAAAAGGGAACAAAAAACTAACCGGAGAAGTCATTATGATGGGACACAGGTTTTTTGTGTTGATTCTTGTGGCCCTATTATTCTTGTGGCCCTATTATAAGCCCGTCGACTTGTTCCTTCTTTAGTAGCTCCACAGCTGAACAAAAAAAAGATAAAACAATTAGAGCCATCAACCAAAAGTGTAGCCATAAAATAAGATGATGTATACATTATTGAATATCTGCACATTTTTCCTCTATTTGCACCAAATTCATCCATTCAAACCAATAAAACTTTTTTCAAAAAAGCTACATTTGCAAACTCAAATTGCTAATTCCATGTGTTCCACACAACAATGAATAATCAAGTCACCACCAGAAGTGTACATTAATTCAGAGATATAAAATCAGTTCAACCTAACTAAGAATATTCTAATAAAGACAAATAGGAAAAAGAGAATTCATATGGTGTAACGAAATATGAAACAATAAGATAAACTGAGACATGATAAATTCAGATGCATCCTCCAAGTTTCACAGCATAAAACCATTCGGACAAATGATTATGTACATGACCAATATCTACAAAACACCATACCTACAAATTCAACAATCCTCAAAACAACAAATACAATGGTCACATTTCACTCACATACACCCTTTTAACAGCAAATACAATGGTCACATTTTGACGGCAAAAGCCACAAAAACCAATCTCATAGTTTCGTGCAAGCTAACCGAGGCCAACCTATTGAAAGGCAAATTTCACAGTATACACCCAACATCTCCTTAAACAAACTGAACAACAATCAAAGATAAACCAAAATCCAAACTCATGCATTCTAGCATCCAAGTAAACAAAAGTTCATCCTTTTAACTGTAATTAAAAAATAATCAAACTCTTAGCACCAAAATTAAGCTATTTGAAGGAGAAGGGAGAGTTGTTGGTCCTAATGAAGTTGAAGTGATTCAATTGGATGGAACCAAAAAAAATTATTCAGCAAAACACATTCTAATTGCAACAGGAAGTCGTGCTCAACGTCCACCTAAATACCTGATTTCAAGCAAATACCTGATTACAAGAACCCTAATTTGAACAAAAAAAAAAACTAAGGGACAAGAACCCTAAATACCTGATTTCAGGGACCAGATAAGATATGGCGGGATCTCCTTAGAGCCGACAAGAAGCTGCGAAGGATTGGCAGGATCTCCTCGGAGCCGGCGAGAAGCTGCGGAGGATTTGCGGGATCTCTTCGGAGCCGGTGAGGTCGCCACGGGACGAAGTCAGAGGTCGTGGAGCCGGAGAGGTGGCCACAGAATGAGGTCGGAGGTCGTGCGGAGTTCGAGCCGGGGAGGTCGTGGGATCTCAGAGGTCGTGGGATGAAGATTTTTGATTTTTTTTTTTTTTTTATGAAGATTTTTAATTTTTTTTTTTTCAATTTTTTTGCTGAAAGTGAAAAATACTTGGGGGGAAGTGAAAGTGAAAGTAAAAGTGTTTGGGGGGAAGTGAAAGTGAAATGGGGAATTAAAATTGGGTTGGGGGTAATTTTGTATTTTCACATACTAAAATGGCTAAAAAAGATGTTTTTTACAAAACATGGCTAAAATTTATGTTTTGTAAATTTATATGGCCAATTAGTGGTATTAGCACTTTTATAAAACATAAAACACTCAACATCTAAAGATTATTAATTGGACAACTAACCTTGAACACAAATTCACAAAGCATGGGTGCAGCATATATCAATGGGACAAAGCAACGGATGCTCCAACAACCATGTAACGCCCCGTTCGTTCATGAATAA